TATATCAAAGTCTGTTGACTTTCCATACACCCCTGGGGATGGGTACAAACACTCCCATTGTGGTTTGGTGAGCTTTGCAGCCTTGAGTAGCTTCTCTGTAGCTGGATTCTTCAGGATTGCTGGAAGATTACTCGGTGGACATTTGTTGTCAAAAACCTCCCTGAATAGCACAGTACCTCCACTTATCAAAAGCCGAGCCATCCGTTGAAAATTATCTCGCCCTTTTGAAGGACATAGCACAGCGTCTGGTCCCAGAGCAGTAGCCATTTTCAGCAGAACTTTTGCATCACTCAGTGAATCCTCGTGATTTCCTGTTTTTAAAGTAAATATACCACTATCTATTCAATCAGCTATGGCAAACCCACCACTTTCAAGATCATCCCAATTTTTGTAAAAAATTGTGATGCCCACTGATTTCTAAGTTAAGAAATTACTTCCTGGTATGATTGAAAGGCCAGGATAAGGGTCATTTTTTTCTGGAAATTCTCTTTGGCAGTTTACAATTAAAATTCTCACTGGCTTTTTGAAAAATCACTACAGCTCTTGCAAGAACAGATTCTTCCTCACTCAGGTGTGAGAGTAAACGTTCTTGAAGTACAGTAACTGAATTAGGTTAAATTGAACCACACCGTGTAAGGCATTGCCATCAAAATCCAGTGCAATTCCTCTTTCAGGTGCGTCTTCACTTTCACTTGGAACTGAAAAAGTGAGAAGAATTAATTAAGCTTCTTACAAACTTTCAGTTTAACATCGTACTTAAAAAGAAAAAGATGGTCAAAAAGGCAGTTAACATCAGCTAAATGTACCAACTTACAAAAAAAATGTATTTCTCCTTTGAGAAACGAAAGGATACTTGCATTGAATTAACAAATATTTAAAGTAGCAGAGTATGATAAGAAGTTAACACTAAAATTTGATAAGAAATTAACAAATTCACTTGTGTTCCAAATGACACAGCCTTGATTGATGTACCCTGCTATAAATGACAAAACCCCCTGTGTCCACTCAATGTTGCCTGTTGGTGGCTGAAGATTAGGCAAATTATGATTCATCACTGTTTGGGAAAGGGGGGGTTAATGGATAATCTTGCATAGAAAAAGATATAAAAATAAGTCAACTGACAATTTTGATGCAAACCTCCGCTGATGCAATTGCCAAGAAATACCCAACACAATGTCCTATTTAGTGGAATAAGAACAACTCACGTAAACCTTGCAAGAAATGTTTTCGTGCAGCTAGGTAATCGTCCTTCTGAATAGTTGTCATCAGTTTCAGCTCAGTCAGGTCAAACTTCTTCAGAATGTCCTTTGTCACAAGATATTTCTGTGCCATGTCATTCAAGTGACCTGTGCAATAGTCATCCCACAGGGCATCCAGTATCTCCAGTGAAGTACACAGTACTGTTAATATCAAACTTCCTGGCTGGGAATCAACAAGCAGCACTTTGCGCACATTTGTTAAAAATTCTATGTAGCCATTTCGTTCTTCTGGTTTAGTTGGGTCAATTGCCTTGAAGTACTTGAGTGCAATGAAATTCAAAACTTCTTGTCCATTGGGTATACCATGACTTTCAACACTTGCTCCCTCAAAGATCTCAGTCCCTCCTGCTTGAGATAGGCTGTTGGATGTAGACAGCTCCACTGCCTTACCCTTACCTGCTCTTACTACTGTCTCCAGGCTTTCTGGTTGGGCACCCTGTGAGCCCAGAACTGTTCTTCCTGAAGTTCCAGTTACTACAAGCTCCGCAGCACCTTCTTGGATACCTTGACTTGATATAGCCACAGTTCCTGAAGCTCCACTTTGTGGATTAGGGTCTGGAATGGCCTCACAATCAATCCGCACTCGAAGTTTAACTGTGAGAGGATTAAGTCTCATTTACTGGTCAGCAACTAAGCATTTACCGAAAAAAAAAGTCCC